GATGAGACATGTGGCCTCTACTGAACCGGCTAGTGATGGAACCAGCTGATTTGTGCAGTTTGGGCGATTGTCTTTTGTTTAAGTTTGAGTCGGACAAATACCTATGTCTAATTGTCTAGTCTAAGAAGGCCTGGGACCTGGACCTGGATCAACTTAGAAATTAGAACTATAACCTGGATCAACCTGGTCCAGGTCCAAGGATGCATGACGACTTAGACAATGGGTTGTGGACAATGTAAAGAAGCTCATACTGACAAGTGATGAGTGAACTGCGGTCAGCCAGTCTGGTTGAATAAGAAAACATGAAAAAATGGGGGCCCACGTTATCCACAAATGTCCAAAAAAAAAAAACAGTCCCTTTCTCCTCATGTGATGTGATGTGGCCCAATAATGTTTTCATTTTTACTTTCTATTGTTGTTTTGCTTCGATTGCTTTGCTCTCCCACGGGGAGTTCAAATCTACAACCAACAAACGCTCCCAACTTCCCATTACAGTCGCACATCGGAAATATCTTTCCATGTATGATAAATAGGAATGGTAACTAGTCCTCTAATCGGATCGGACTTGGATAGGATGCAGCACAATCTGCATCCAATTCGATTATTGGGAACCTATATCTGAATCCAAATATGATTCAAAATTTTATTAGATTTAAAGATTTGAATTCAAATTCAAATCCTAATAGATTTGGATCGGATTCGGATTTAATCCGATTCCCTATAAATTTTTAAAATATCAAAAAATTAAATAAGTATTTATTTTTCAATTTGTATATATAATAAATTAATATATATATATATATAATATACTAAATTTATTATATATTCATTTATAATATAACCGGGTTCGGATTTTAGTTGGATTAAATGGGGTTAAATCTGAATCCGATTCAATTATTAATCAGATGTAGCATCTGAATCCGATCTTATTACATAAATACATCATTCAAACCCGTGATAATTTAATTGGATGTTGGTTCGGGCCTTGGATTTTTGGGCATCATTGATAGGTTTAATGGTAACAGGACGGGGTTTTGCATGCCCTGTCCCTGACCCCAAACTCACTCAAATACCATGTCCCGTCCCCACCCTATACTAGGGGTGCAAATGGATTGGATCATGATCTGATTCGATCCGATCCTATTTGGTTGAATTCGAATCACCCTAGTTTAGATCTTCATATTAGATAATAGGGTCCAATCAGAATTTGGATTGGATTTGGATCACCCCCTATTTGATTTGATATATAAATAACATATATATATATATATATATATATATATGTTATTTACTTTTTATATATAAATATATTATTTATATGGTATTTTTGTAAATTTGTTATATTATTTATTTTTTTATAAAAACCATGTATATATGATGAAAATAATTTAAAAAATACTTTCATTTTTTGTTTTTCTTTATTTAAATTGGTATATTTTATTTATTTTTTAATAATTTATTAATTAAAAAAAAACAAATCGGATTGGATCATATATGAATATTCGACTTCTCGATCGGATTCAAATTTAGATTCATATCTATCATATTTGATCAGATCTTAGATATTCGGATCGGATTGGATATTACAATTAACTGTATCAAATCAGGTTTGGATATATAGATTCGAATATGATCCATTTGCATCCCTACCCTACCCTAACCCCATCGGGGCTAGAGATCTCAACCCCATCCCCCTTGCTACGGAAAAGCAGGGATTCCCGAATTTGCCCTGCCCTAGTGGTGAAAACCCACTGGCACTCAGAAACCCGATTAGCGGTCAAACAACGTGCCCCAACCCGGGCTGAAGGAAATGTCTTCCAATGTATGGCTACAATGACATGTGTGGGAGCGTTATGTTGGTAAGAGATCCCACAAGGGGTTGGAGTAGTTATGGTCACACTTCAAATGGAGGGGTCCCCCCTCTGTCCATTTTAAATTTTTATTATGATCTCCCATGGGCCATGGCAACGCTATCTGCTTCCTCTCTCAATTAAATCACTCCCCTCACACCTAACAGATCCATCATTCAGCATATGTGGCAGGTGTTCTAGCGTTCGGGGACCATTGCCATTTAATGGATTCCCTGTACCATATTTCGTTTAGAATTGGACAATCTTGCCCATTGGCTTCTTATTCCTTTTTTAATTACTTAATCAAAGATTGATGTTTTCTTATCAAGTTAAGCATAACGTCAAAACAGGTTTAAGTATAACTTCCTTGTAATTTTCTTTTGGCAGGTATAAGTTCCTGAATTCCCAGGGAAGCAAAGGAAATGAAACTATGGATTTGCTTGGTTCGTTGGAATACGGCTTTAGAATACGAACCAAAATGGTTCATTCCGATTTCAACCGTCCGTCTGATCGGATAGATACACCATTTCAATTCCAATTTTGATTACGAACCAAATAAATCATGAGAAATATAAAAAATTCTTCTTCTTTTTTTTTTCTTAAATCCATTTGTTTTTATTATCACATATTGTTATTTTCAATATATGATATTAATAATTTACGATATGACATTATGCCCACTATAAAAAGAGGTATCTTTATAATTGAGATCATGGGAATCTTATAAATGGTTTTTATTGATTCCTTCACCTCAAAAATTATAAATGTATATCAAAGGATCGACCCTACTATGTATAGAAACTTTTCACTCTGAAAGCCAAAAGAATCGAATAATAGGGTCGGGGCGGGCCATGTTTTGGTTGGGTTGGAACTTGGCATTTAGAATCTTAGATGAGAATAATGCCCCATTGCTCCCTTCATTCTACCATTATATCAACCATTTCTTTGTCCTTTGTCACACCCAGATTGAACTTAAACTTAGAATGCTCACTGGTTCATCGGGTCAACCGTCTGATCTCATAACTACTCACCATCAACTCTCATCCCATTGTTCCTGGTTTTGAAGTTGTCTGCTTGGTTTTGTTTTTCTGTTACTTTTTTTTTTTTTTGCTGTTTGCTTCTTAAAGGCTTAGTTTGGAAGGAGTATAAATACAATTATGTAGAGTGTAAAATGTTGTATTTTGTATTATTTAGAATATATTTGTATTTGTACTCTTTTCAAATCGAGCCTTAACTATTGTTGTAACAATTTGAGGGCTGTAAGTGGGGTAAGGCTTGGGTGTAAGTGGTTTCTTTGAACCGGTGAATAGGGGAATAGGCTCTTTGGGGCTAAGGATGTTGAGGCAAGAAATCAAAGTGAGAGAGAGTGCTTGAGTGTCGAATGCCAAATGTTGAGAATCGAATGAATTTCAATACAAGGAGGATCTTTATTTATGGGGGAGATCCCGAAATACTAAAAGGTAGGAGATGAAGATGTTTGTCTCTTATTGGGAAATGAAATATTGGATTTGCTGTCAATCATTAAGTGCGGCACTGGGGTTTCGCCATGTGTCTCATGAAGATTCTCCCGATGATCGGTTTTCCTTCCTCTCAAGATTTCTCATTACTCACGTGTGCTACTACTTCTTGCGTTGTTTTACTTAATTGACGTGGCGTTAATGACGTCATCGCTTGACGGGCGGCTTCTTGTTGACTCCACGTGGCGTCTCACTACGTCTTTTGCTGTTGTAGGTTCCACGTGTCTCCGGGCACACGCGGGCCTCACCATGGGCTCGGCCTGAGTTTCTCTCGATCTGAGTCGCGAGTGGGCTTGTAAATTGTCGGTTTATCGCACGCTTTGGCGGGCTTGAGTTCATCGCACATTCGAGTAGGCTTGGGGCCCTTGGATGGGCTTGGTCATGTTTTCCTTTGGTTCGGCCATCGAATAGGCCGATGAACCATGGGTTTATTACAGTTTTGCGATATTCGTTGCGAGTTCATCGCAGGGTTTGTGGTGTGTTGCGGGTTCATCAAAGTATGAAGGTTGACTGTGGGTTGCTCGTATGCAAGTTTGTGGTGTTGGTTTTGATGATTGATGTTCTATAAGGGTCTAAGTGATCACCGTATACCTACAAGGGTTATGACATTTTTTTTAAGGAGAGGCAAATAAATCAATGAAGATGTCATGGACTTATAAAAAATGGGCTTTCTAACAAATAGAACCCATTTAAGTCTGATTCATTTTTCGGTACTCGAATAATACATTTCTCTGGGCAAATGGATCTTAGGAAAAAAAAAAGGAAGAATGACTGTTCAGAACACCATAAGAATTCTTAGCCTCAGTATAATTGGGGTAAGTGCCAACTTAGAATTGATGCCAATTCACATGTACGTTTTAATATTTTAAGATGAAGTGTCTGTCATATTTTGAATTATGTAGAAAAAAAACTTTAGCTTATATACCCTTTATTGTGAGTGGATAAATAACTTATATACCCTTTATGGAATATCGATTTCCCAAAAAATAATAGTAATAGAAAAAATTGATCAATTACCTGATTGACTTCATTTGAAATCCCCATACTAAAAAGATTAGAAATAATTAAATGGGATTGGCCCATTAGGTCATCTGACGTAATCAAATATTGAGGCAGAAGATTGACCAAAAGACAGGACGTGGGTCAGCCACGCCACCCACGCGAGGCGCGCCACGAGGGTTGTACATTTTAAATAAGGGATAATGCTCACGTTAGCGATGACCCTTTATTTGTATTAATTATTAAATAAATAAAGATATTTGATTTCAAGGATACCACAAATCCCAGATTTCAGCGTTTAGAATTGTTTTTGGTAATAAAGCCGATAGAATTGCTTATCAAATTAATTAATTAATAAAAAAAGGAGTGCTTCAGAGTTCACACAAAGAGAGAGAGAAAATAGGTGCACTCTGAGTCTGATGCGCTGTAATGGAAGCTGAGAGTGAAAGGTCAAGTATGGAATAATAGAAAGGATTGAGAGAAAGGAAAGAGCCCAGCGGAACGGAGGGTAAAAAGGGGAAGCTCTAATAATTATATTCTTTTTCATTTTCCTTTGTTTTTTTTTTCATTTTATTTGAGAATGAATTTTATTAATCATTTACGTTTTCCAAATTGCTTGAGTCTGACTGTCTATTACAGCCACAGTAATAACACCTGATGTGTCTGATTTTCTTCGCTGCCCATTCAAGGTTCCAAATTTAACGAACCACACCCTCACAAGAGCGTTACCGACATCTCCAAATTCACGCCTTTGAACTCCTTTTACAACCTTATACTCTCCTATGTGGGATCCCATAAGACGTTGAAAGGAAGATTGGACTGAATAAATGCTGCCTTTAAGCAGTGATGAGATATAGATCGGCAAAGGATAAGTGCGTCATTTTGGGTTTGCTTTTTGCAGGGTTTCAGATGCTGGGGGACTGATAATTTGGCAAGATTATAGACGGGTTTGCTCGATTTTTCTCTGTTTTGGTCTTGATAAGGGGAATATTGAGTTTTGCAGAGCAAAGAAGTGCAGGGTTTCTCTTATTTATTTTTTTCGGTTTCTTTTTATTTTAGTGGGAAACATCAAACATAAACGAAGCGGAGCTCTGATTCTGAAGGAGATTGGAGATGGGTTTCTTTAGTACTATAATGGGTTTCTGTGGATTTGGTATGGGAACTTCTATTGGTCTTGTGATTGGCTATTATCTCTTCATCTACTTCCAACCCACTGATGTGAAGGTCATTTTTCTTCTTTCCTTTGAAATTTTTTTCTTTGAACTAAAATGAATTTCTGAATATGCTTTGTGTTGTCAATTGTTGGTTTGTTTGGTTCTTTCTATGTGATACATCTTAGATATACATGTTGAGAAGTAAGCTGTAAGTTGTAACTATTCGCAAGACTGAGGAGAAAACAGGGCTGAAATTTTGATGGACCAATGTGTTATAAATTCTTTTCGTAGCTTTAATTTTAAGCTTGCGCAACTAGTTGGTTGGTCTTAGCATTTGCTGGCATACCTTCTTGTAGTGATCTGGATGCGGAAAGCTCTGGCTCTGGTTTGAACTCTGGTTTCACAGGCTGATATGTCTCATGAATATCCAGTATGCGTTGGTTTTGTAATTATATTCATCAATGGTTTGATCTACCGATGGAGTATTGTCATTTTGTGTTTGGTAGTGAAGAGTTGACGCAAAAGAACAAAGTAGGATATCGAAATGGGATCATGATCCTGAAGAGTGACGATGGGCTTGTTGATTTTATATCATTTCTTACCAGACTCGTGGTCTCTATCTGCTTGACCTTTTTTTTTTCTCTCTTTTTATCTTATGATGAAAAGGGAAAGAACAAAAGGATTTCCAAGACTGCAACTAAAGCTTGGATACAGATGTGTGGTTGCAGATGCTAACTCCAAAAACTAAAAAAGAGATCTTTGTTCCCTGAAATTCAGAACAAGTATATGGTGGTATGCATCAGTTCAATATGTCATATACTTGATTGGATAAACAAGTTTGACTCAGAAATTGAAATTTAGAGGTATTGTGCGCATAGTTTTCAAGGCGCAAAGGCGAGGCTAGGTGACAAGGGGGCACCTTGTCGCCTAGGCAATGGATTTTTTTATGTAGAAAACATAGATCCTAGGGTAGTTCCCTAGGTACCATAACCATATTTTCTTAAGAATTATTCATAATTTTCATAAGAAAAGTATAGAGTTCATGTTAAAGTAAAGAAAATCAACATATTCATGAGAAGAAAAAGAAGGAAAAGAAAATTCAAAAAATATAGGGGTTGAACCCTTATTTTTGTTATAGGAAAAGAAGAAAAGAAAATGTGTTGATTAGAAAATGTGTAGTAGTAGTAGAAAATGTGTTGATTAGACAAAATTTTAAGTTCTTCCTTACTTATTGGTTCAGGTTTTAAAGTCTTTGGGGGTTCAATACATCATTTAGCAATGTTTATATTGATTAAACCCTAACAAATAAGAAAACAATAAAAAGAAATTAGTATATAAACACACAAAATGAATATTTTAGTTTAATAGGTGCCTATTTTATAATTAATGTCAAAAAAATAAAGAATAAAAAAGTATTTTATAATACATAGTACAAAACTGTTTGGAGTTTAGGCGAGGCGAGCCTCAAAGGGCGCCTTGTCGCCTTGACCACTATATTTGTGCAGTGTCCAATATGAGTTTATTATCATATTTTGTTGATATAGGTAGAAGTGTTCGCAAATGGATAGATATGAACTAAGTTTAAGCTCTTTGTTAAAGTTATTGGAGGGACCATTGCTTGGTCTGATGGTAGAATCTGAGGCCTACAAGGTTGAGAATGTAACATGAGGTCTGAGAGTGGTCACTTTGTGCAATAAAAATGCATGAGTTCAGGTCCGTATACAGTCCACTTCTCCTTTTACCCTGGATAGCTAGGACCAGCATTTGGTAATGCTGTTTCCTTTTTAACTGCTGATCGAATCACCATTCATGTGGGCAAAGTCTCCCTTCACCCTATATTAGCAGAGCTTAACTTTTGATGATGAAAATGATGGTGGTGGTCTGCTTCCATGTGAAACTGAATTGCCCATATATTCTTGTTTCCAACTATTTATTTATGTCTGATTTATAATTCTTATGTAAAATAGCTTCTCTTCTTTTGCATATATTAGTTTTTGTACTTCAGAATCAGATAAAACCAAATAGCTGATAAAAAAAGGATTAAACTAAATTCTCCTACAAGTCTATATCTGAATATGTCAAATAAACTGTGTGCCTGTTATTGTGTTTTGGGCCATTTGGTGCTTAATAAGTTCTTATGATAGAAGTACCAAACCCAAACTCTGACACACTTCGGTATTTTAAACTAAATTCTCCTACAAGTCTATATCTGAATATGTCAAATAAACTGTGTGCCTGTTATTGTGTTTTGAGCAGTTTTTCTAAATGATATGATTTGCAATATTTTCTTGTATTCTTATTTTTTTTGGTGTTTCCTTCCTCAGGATCCTGAAGTTCGTCCATTGGTTGAGCAAGATTCAAAAACCTTGCAGCGATTGCTTCCTGAGATACCTTTGTGGGTGAAAAATCCTGACTATGATCGTGTATGTTAGAAATGTCGGATACTTACCTAGACAACTGTCTTTTTTTTATTACAAATTTTGCATTTTGGTTCTGATAACCAAGTTTTTGTTGTTTGCATTTTTGTGAAGGTTGACTGGCTAAATAAGTTCATTGCAAATATGTGGCCTTATCTCGACAAGGTATTGGTCATTCTTATCTGCTGGGCACTGTATTTTCTCTGACCTTTTTGGTGGAGTATTTATGAATCTAGTTTCTTATTAGGCAATCTGCAAGATGGCAAAGAATATTGCAAAGCCCATTATTGCTGAGCAAATTCCAAAATACAAAATCGACTCAGTTGAATTTGAAGCACTTACATTGGGTTCTTTACCACCTACTTTTCAAGGTTGGTTTGTAACTTTTAAGTTGTTTTCCACCTTCCTATTATCTTATTTTTCAGCTTAATATAATGCATGCCTTGATCCAAGCCTTTGAAATTAATGTGGTGTGGTTTATGCTATCAACTATTCAAGAATGACTATGCAATCAAGAAATACTTGTGGATATTTTCTGATCACTCATGCATCTTTCATCATTTGCATAATGTGCCAGCTACTGATTAGCACCAAAAGAATTTATTGAAGAGTCATAATTACTGAATCAGGTCAATCCCAGGGGTTGGACATCTCTTAGACCCCCACACAAACATGACTTGATCCTTCAGAGTGTTTCATTTGAACTGCTATGCTGTTGGTACACAAATTTAATGGTCAACCTATGTGGAACCTTAGGCCTTCAATCTTCCCAAAAACCATAGAATCCTGCTCCTCAAGGTCCTTAGGAGTTTGTCAACATTGGGAAGAAAATCACAGATCCCATGTAAAGAGGGAGATTTCTGGTAAGTGTACTGATTTAATGACAATTGATTGTCTAAAGAGGGTTTATATCTGTGTCCTGTATATCTTAGTCTCTTGGCTTCCTATTTTTTTCTTGATGCCATTTTTCTGTATAATCTCCATCTTTAGGTAAATCTAATTTCTTTTTTGCACTTCTTTATGGAAAAAAAAATAGGAAATCAGTATAGATTGATGTGTATGTATGGGAAAAAATAGGAAATCAGTATCATCCAAGCCTTTTCTCAATTATATGCGGTTGGCTACATGAATCCTGCTTTGCCATTCTGTTCTGTTAGGAATCAAGGTCTATTGACACTCTCATCTGGTGACAATTATTGTCAGGTATGAAGGTCTACATTACTGATGAGAAGGAGTTGATTATGGAGCCATCTGTAAAATGGGCGGGAAATCCTAATGTAACTGTTGCCATTAAGGCATTTGGGTTCAAAGCAACAGTGCAGGTTGTTGACTTCCTTTTTGACTTGTTTTATGAGATTTATTCTACCATATTACTAGTCTAATTTATTAATATATCAAGCAAACCATTGTTTCTTCAAGTTATTGAATGAAGGCACTACTTTGCCTGTTCAGCAACCATTCTTAATATATGCTTGTTATAGAAATTGAGAATAACTTTGGCCTTGTTTGGTGGTACTTTTGAAAGTACTTTTCATACTTCCAAAAGTATGAAAGTATGAAAAGTACCGGAACGTGTTTGTTTGGGGTGTTTTTTACTTTAAAAAACACGAAGTAAAAGTACAAAAAACACGAAAAGCATAAAACTAGCTTTTTATACTTTGTGTTTTTTGGCCCTTTGACATACTTATACTTTCTAAAACGTGTGCATCAACCACACGTGTGAGACTTATACACCCCACCACGTGGTAGCATATATGAATGCCACATGGAAGTTAGATACATTAATGTATTCAATGACACATGGCATACAATATCGCTAACTTACCTTCAGGTGCCACGTGACATTCATATATGCTGCCAAGTGGCATCCACATGTCATTGATCCAATATCCATATGCCATGTGGCATTCATGTATGTTGCCACGTGGCACATATGGATGCCACATGTTATCTGAACATAATTTGTGACAATTATATGCCATGTGGCATGTAATATCATTGACTTAATTTCATATGCCACATGAATACCATTGACTTACTTTCAAATGCCATGTGGCATGCGTATGTATAAATTTTTTGTACTTTGAAAAACATGTTTTTGAAAAATTTCCATCCAAACGGTTTTTTAAGTAAAAGTACGAAATTAAAAATATACCACGTACTTTGGTGTTATTGAAAGTACAAAGCATGAAGTACCACCAAACGGGGCCTTTGATTTTCAAGTTATTTAATGAGATTGCCTAGATGACTCTGGAACCTTCTGTGTGGTAACTTGACTTGAAACTAGTAGGGAGTTCCTTGTTCCTCTCCTTGAAAGCCTTGTCACATGTTCAAAACAAACCTTGTTCCTTTCCTTTAAAGTATAAGTGGCTATCATTAGGGGTACAAGTCAGGCATCCAACCTGAATAATTTACACAGCATTGGGCCCTGCCCAAGGGCCTATTCAATTATCAACGAATGCCCAGCCTGAGCCTACCCAATGTGCTGCCCTAAGTATCATTGATTGGGCAAAACTCCATTACAAGGTTGGGAAAGGACTAATGTGGACTTTGCATTTGAACATACAACACTTCCAATCTAATTAGGAAACCTTTTCCTTTGCAATAAATATGGAGTGAAAATGATTTAGGGACAATGATAAAAACTACAAGGGGTCATTACTTGGTCTATGGTAAAATCTTGGGTTGGCAAGTGTGAGAAAGCTGGTTTGAGTTTGAAATCTGCCACCTTGTGTAAAAAATGCCAAAGATTAGGACCTTATCTATTCTACCCTTCCCAAGTAGCTGGGACCAACATTGGGTAATGACCTTTACTGATAAAAACTACAAGTTGGGATCACAAAGGGTTGGTTACAGAAAGCTGTCTCCTTATGTGCATTCCTGTGGTGAATTCTAGTACTTTTCAAAGTTTGTATGAAATTGGAAAAATAGTCTTTAAGTCTAATGCCTTTAAAGTTGCTGAACTATTATCTCTCTGGAAAGAGAAATCTATTTTTGTGTGTTAATGCTGATTGCTGTTTTTTCTTTCCTGGAGGATTTCAGGTGGTGGATTTGCAAGTCTTTGCTGCCCCACGTATTACGCTTAAGCCACTGGTTCCAAGTTTTCCCTGTTTTGCCAAAATTTTGGTTTCTCTTATGGAAAAGGTGTGTAGTGATTTAACCATAAGCTTTTAGTGTTGAGGATGAACAGGATGGACATTCTTATGTTAAATCTGGTATATTGGTTTTGCAGCCCCATGTTGATTTTGGACTAAAGCTTATGGGGGCTGATATTATGTCAATCCCTGGTCTATACAGATTTGTTCAGGTACCTAATATTCCCCCCCCCGCAATTTTATGGGAGAGAATTTGATAGCTGTATTTCAGACTGTGGGACCAATCAAAATACCCCATGCCGACCATACGTTCTGTGCCACATATACTTGATGACTGGGTGTGGGGACAGCTATCAAGTTCAGCTAATCCGTTATCATTTTATGGTGCTCGATGTTTGATGTTTCTGAATGTGGTGTTTTATGTTGTTTCGCTTTCTTCTGTGATTGTCATGGGTTGATGAATGATCTTTGAAGTTGTAAATACATTGGAATTTAAGAGTTGAAAAATGATGGGAAAAGGGTTACAATTAGTATATGTAAAATGTCAATATCCCTCATCATCATCATCATCCAAGCCTTATCTCTACTATATGGCGTCAGCTATATGAGTCTTGTTTCACCATTCTGTTCTGTTTAATGCCATATCCATTGGTAGATTTATTAATATGCCAATAGCCCTATTTCCTTTTTGTCAAAGCTTCCCCAGTTCCCCTTGGTTTGCATTATTGCCCTGAGCCCCTTAAGCACCAATCTTCTAGTGCTGTCATGCTTTCCGACATGTGAACAAGGGATGCTATCCAAGACCCACAAGTCTGTGGAGCTGTCCTTGTTCCATATAATTACATTGGGTAGTTAGGAATGTTGCAACTGACCAACTTATTTTGAATTGCTCTACTAATTCTGTTCAGCACATCTAATTAGTAGACCTTATTTATGACCTTTTCCTGCTTCAATGTAAAAGTGAAGCAATGCCATTTTTCTGTTATGTTCCCATTGTTTCTATTCTTATTTCACATTTTGTCTTTTTGTTCATTAAGACTGATTTTCCTGCAGGAGCTTATCAAAGATCAGGTTGCAAATATGTATTTGTGGCCTAAAACATTAGAAGTACCGATCATGGATCCCTCAAAGTAAAATTTGCATTTTGTTCTATTTAAGTTTTTCATGATGTTTCCTATCCTTACCATGTTGAAGCCCTTGACAAAGTAATCTCTCTCTGAAATTTGCAGAGCGTTCAAGAGACCTGTTGGAATTCTCCATGTGAAGGTTCTGAGGGCAATGAAGCTTAAAAAGAAGGATCTTCTTGGGGCTTCAGATCCTTACGTCAAACTAAAACTGACCGAGGATAAACTTCCATCAAAGAAGACAACGGTGAAGCACAAAAACTTGAACCCTGAGTGGAATGAGGAATTCAATATGGTTGTTAAAGATCCAGAAACTCAAGCTTTGGAGATTAATGTTTATGACTGGGAACAGGTACTTTTCTGTTTTAGAATGCGTTTCTAATTTCCAAGTTCTGTTCCTCAGTCTATATGTTCCTTTTCCTTAGGTTGGCAAACATGACAGGATGGGTATGAATGTCATTCCTTTGAAAGATCTTCCTCCTGATGAGTCAAAGGTCATTACTCTTGATCTACTCAAAAACATGGACCCTAATGATGTTCAAAATGAGAAGTCACGTGGGCAGATTGTGATGGAGGTGACTTATAAGCCTTTTAAGGAGGATGACATACCAAAAGATATTGAAGATTCAAACTCTGTGGAGAAAGCCCCTGAAGGAACACCTGCTGGTGGTGGTCTGCTTGTAGTTATAGTTCATGAAGCTCAAGATGTTGAAGGGAAGCACCACACAAATCCATATGTCCGGATCATTTTTAGAGGGGAAGAGAGAAAGACCAAGGTACGTATTAGGCTCCACTGTGGCAAAGAGTAGAAGGCAAACATCTTACTTTTTTCTCCTTTTTTTGGTTGAAAATAACTGATCCCCACAGTTCTCATATTGTCAACTGAATTCAACAAAGCCTCGTTCCAACTAGAATAGGGTTGGCTACATGAATCCTGTTTTGCCATATCTTCAGTCATATTCTTTGCCTTCAAATCATTTCTGACTACCTCTCTCCATGAATGCAAACTGTTGGGCGCTATTTGTAGCCCAAATATACCATGTAGAGATGTTCTTATTACCTTATTATTTTCTTCAAGTAAGAATGACTCGTCTGGCACTTCTCCCTATATATAGGTAAAAATCATTATACTTTTATTTACCCATTAATATGCTAATACCAGTTTTTCTACCATGGAACCGAGTTCAGACTTCAGAGTTGTAGAGATGTGAATGACTGGATATTAATTCATTTCATCAACTGGTGCAGCATGTTAAGAAGAACAGAGATCCAAGATGGGAAGAAGAATTTCAGTTTATGCTGGAGGAACCACCCACTAATGATAAACTCCATGTGGAAGTAGTCAGTACCTCAACAAAATTGGGCCTACTGCATCCCAAGGTACACATACATCACCTTTCTGCTTAAGCACATTAATAAATTACCTGTCAAAGAAGAAAGAAAAAGTAAAGTTTCATGGAATTTGAGATGCCTATACTCTATTTGATATGTGCTTGGTAGGGGGTCCTACAAATTTCAGATCTGGTGGTAGTGGGCTTTATGCAGTGAAAGAGGGGCTTTGGGTGTCAATGGATTAAGAATAGGATGGAGGATCAAGTAAACAGCTTGTTGTTCACTAAAGAATGAGCAAGAAATTATAAAACACTCTTGCTGTTAGAATAAACAGCAAAAAGATAGATCACTAGGGGTGCAAATGGATTGGATCATGATCCGATCCGATCTGAGATCCAATCATATTTGGTTGAATTCGGATAACCTCAGTTTGGATCTTCGGATTGGACTGGGTAATATGATCCGATCAGAAATCGGATCGGCTTCGGATCACCCCCTATCCGATCTGAGAAGATCTGATCTGATATATATGCTATATATTTATTTATATAAATATATAATACATATATATGTTATTTATTTATTTATAAATATATTATTTATATTGTATTTGTGTAAATTTGTTATGTTATTTATTTTTTTATAAAAAACATATATATATGATGAAAATAATTAAAAATACTTGTATTTTTGTTTTTCTTTATTTAAATTGGTATATTTTATTTTTCTTGTAATAATTTATTAATTTTTAAAGAAAACAAATCGGATCGGATCATCCAAATATCCAACTTCACGATCAGATTTGAATTCAGATCCATATCTATTAGATCCGGTCGGTTCTTCCGAAAGGATCAGATCTGTAATTAACAGTGTCGGATCGGATTCGGATACACCCTGATTCGAATCCGAACCAATCCGTTTGCATCTCTATAGATCACTTAGAAGAAATAGGTTAGAGAGCAGGAAGAGAAAAGAAATCATAGGATTCACTAAACCAAACTTTATTTCATCAAATCTACTACTCTTTTTTTTATCACAATGACTAGTTATAGACTCACCATAAGAACTTGGATGGCCCTTTCCACACTCCAATTTAAACTAGGAAAATGACCCAAATCAACTTTTAATTGTTTCAAGACTAAGACAAACCCATAAGGACTCAAAACTCTCAAAACATTCTAATAACATTTACTAATCTTACTGAAACTAACTTGGCAAAAATCCCTAAATAGCAAATCCAAAAATTATTAAAATCTTATTCGTAAGACACCTACAATTAGAAAATAAATTAAAAAAAAAAACTCAAAAATATTAGAGGTGTAAATGGATCAAATCAAATTGGATATGGGTAGATCCAAACTTGATTTGTTTATAATTGAATTTGAATTGGATTGCATCCATTGGATATCTATTAGACTCGAATTGAATTCGGATTATAATTAGATATTAAATAGTATAAATAAGTTAAACTAAAAATGATCAAAATATTATATATTACTAATAAAATGAAGTGTTTTCAATTGGTAATAAAATGGGGTTCTATTATCAAAATCCCATGAGTAACAAAATTCATATGAAACCACTATCAGAGTCAAAACAAGGACACACCAAAAGAGAAACGGGTAAAAGGACACGAGTGATTTATACATAGACAGACAAAGGAAGAAATAGATATACACACAGACACATGATCAAAAGTATATACAATGCCATACTTATAAAAAAAAAATTAAAAGTCTAAAAGTGATTTTAATATTATATTTTATGAACAAAATGAATTGAAAATTACTTCTATGAAACTTGAACCTATGACAATTTAGTGAAAATACAACATTCAAACTGACTTCATATATATATATATACACGTTGAATTGAAATGGATTATATCAGATTGGATAAGGGGTGGCTCCATATTTGATCCAATTATAAGGGGATTGAATTCAGATCACCCTTAATAGGACCTAATTTGAATTCAAATTCAGACAATTGGGTACTGTTTGAAGCCCTAAAAAAATATCGATATCCTTATCACATAATTGCACATTATTCTTTTTAATTTTTTAGTTGAATGTCCTAACTCCCTTGAATCTACTCTTTTCTTGCTGCTCTTATTGTTATCATTAGATGCAAAACTAGGGAAAAATGTTTGCGGGTGGGGGGATCTTGTATTTCAAAAGGAGTTAGGGTCTCCCATTTTGTATGAATATTAGGATTTACCTTTTGTTTCTTTTGTTTTTTGAGGGCTTAGCCCCTTATTACTATTATTTGTCGGTTACTGAGTCATATTTTCTCGCTCATTTTCGATCAGGAAAATCTGGGCTATATCAATATCAACCTCACAGATGTTGTTAACAATAAACGAATCAATGAAAAGTATCATCTCATTGACTCAAAGAATGGAAAGATTCAGATTGAGCTGCAATGGAGAACATCATGAGGATGCTGATTTTATCTTTGATCTGAGAGTATGAGACAGAGAAGACCTTCCATGTGTTGTCCAAAGTTTCAGACCAAATCAGATTGATTCTTGTGAATGAGAAATAAATTCCTAGTTTGGTTCCTGTATATGTAAGTTTGTTTGGTTCATTCATGCTTTTGGTATATTACCTGCGTGTATTTTACTACCCCTAGATTAGGATGAAGCCATAGAGATCGCGTTGGGGCCCTCTCTCCCTGTGTATTTGTTACACAAGGATCCTCCTGTATTTGGTTTCCAAGTAATAATACAGTGCCTCTGGTACAGCCTTGTATAGTTTTGATTCATCGTCCCAAATCTTGTTGGTTTAAGATCTGCTGGATCTTGTGGCTGTTGAATGGTAGGATTGGGACCCTAAACTGAATTTATTTGATAAAGAAGCAAGGTTGGGTCTACACTCTTCTGTGCTTGTCAAATAGCAAGATCTAGGGGTGCAATGAGTCGGGTTTGATTCACCCGAACCTAACCAAAGTCATTCCAACCCAACCCAACCCAACCCAACTAAGGGGCCTTTGGTAACTCTGAAGTTGCTGAACTGAAAGACTTGATGCTTCATCTTTTAGTGTTTGAAGTAATTAAATAATATAATTTTCAAGGGTATTGGCCTATTGGGGTCTATCCAAGGAAGCCAACTTCAGTTTCAGCCATTAAGGAGTTCGCAGCCTTGTTAAAATCTTATTCACTAAAAGTCGAAAGTAATAAGCTTTTTCACTTCACCTTCAGCTGTTATCAAACGGCCCCTAAATGGAGGAGGACATTGAACCTAACCCAGCCTGTCCTATATATAGTCCACTGTTACTCATGGTTCAATTCAATGTATCGATACTCCTACGTATCCAGAGTTCTAAGTTCAAGTCCAAAACCATTTGATTTCCCAACTTCCATTATTTGCCGTATTGGTGACCCTGAGAGCCAATATGATACTTTGTATAAAGGGCAGTCCGTGGGGTTTAGAGAGGGATAGATGTGCCTTACCTAAATCTGCAATTGAATCGAGGTTTAATCGAATAATTTGGGCTTGAGTTCAATTAGGTTTGATTTTAATTAAGTTTGAGTCAACAAGTTCGATTAATTATGTGTTTAGCTTGAAAACATGTGGTGTATCAAATCGATACTTTGAGGTTTGAGCCTTCTTTAATTATTGATATTCTATTTTTTTTCTTAATTTTTTCAATCGTTAAATTCGCAAATAGGTATACTAGGACTAGGATAGGTATTAATGTTTAAACCTATTAAAAAACTCTAATGTTTAGCATTTCAACGACCCTGAAATTTGAACCACGCGGTCCATGCCTACAGCCCTACACTCAACTAATCCCATGTATGCTAAGTTTTCAATGCTGCAATATCATTGGATTGGCCAATTGGGTTTGGAACTGCTTTACTTCAACCTTAACCCCAATTAAGACTGACCCAACCCTAAGCCGGTAGAGTTGGGGGGTGGTAACTTGTAAGTTTACTACTTAACCTGACCCATTCACACCCTATCAGGATGTTGCAAGTAAGGATGTCAATGGATGAGTTTTGAGTTTCCAAAATCAATTTGGACAGATTGGACGGATTGACAAGACATATTGGATTGGGCCGATCTGGTCCAAAATATTTATCAGATTGGATTGGGCCTGGTCCATCCGTAATAAATTTATATAGGATCGAGTTGGATTAAGCCAATATCTAGTCCATTGATATAAGAATATACGTGTCAATGGACCAGGTTTGGGTTGAAACCAATCTAAATCAAAATGATTTTGAATGGTCCAAACATTGAATTGGACCGATTCAAAATGGTCCAAAATATTCATTGGATTGGATTGGGTCTGGTCCATTTATAATGGACTCACATTGGATTGGACCAAATCCAGTCCAATTGACACCACTTGGAAGTATCCCCACCTTAGAGATGGTGCTTAAAAGAATCTGGCAAATACTTGTTAAATGGTCATTTACTAAAATACCCCCTATCGTGTTATGGATTTATTAAAATCTATCCTATAATTTGCATTTTACTAAAACACCTTGTAAGTAAGGTGGTCAGGCTACGCTCAGGGGTCTCCTTGAAGGACGAAGGATGACTAGATGTAGAAGGTAGGTTTGGGGATTAGGGCAAATGGAAGTGATAAGGCAGCATGATAGAATGATTGAATGATGATTTCGTTATGGGGTGGACTCTCATTTATAAGGAGGGATCCCAAGGACCCGAAAGGAAGGAGTCAAAAGCGTTTGATTCCCATTAGGAAAGGGAATATTGGATTCGCTACCGGTTATTAAGGAGCACTGCTAGGGTTTCGCCACACGTCCTATGAGATCTCTCAAAGACGAACTTTCCTTTCGTCTAAGGATTCTCATAGTCCGCATGTATAGTGTACTACTTTTTGTGATCCATTCAACCGACGTGGTGTTAATGACGTTATCATTTAGCGGGTGCACTTTTACTAAACCTACGTGGTGCTTTACCACACGCTTAACTTAAGGTCGCACGTGCAGGCCATATTTATTTCCAATTCACAGTGATCCCGTGGTTCTATAATGATCTCGGGTTCATCGCAAAACTGCGCACATTTGAAGTTCCATTGCGAGTTCTCATTAATCAGAGTTCATCGCAATTCGTCTTAAGTATGAGTTTGTCTCAATCGTGCGGTGAACTATACCTTCATTGCAGTCGTCTAATGGATTGTAAGCTCATTGTAGGTAGCTAATGAGTTGTGAACTCATCACAGGGATCCATGGGGTACCAATTTGGTCTCCTCCGTATTTTGATGGTCTGAGCGATCACTATGTACTTACACACCTCTATAGTTTGCAATCAATTTACTTAATGGACCTTACATTAGATGACAATGAAAAATAAGAATTTTGACCCTAACATCCATTTAAATTAATTTAATAAAAATAAAAAAATAAAATACCATTTTTGCCCCTAGTAAGACATAAGCAACTACTCTATTTGGTCTGTTTTGATTTCTATATGAAGTGTTAGGGGTAATTTTAGAATAAATAATCATGGACCCATGCCTTGAACATTTTTCATTCAGTTTAGGTGATTATCTTACTATTTTCATATGACAAAACAAAAACCTCTTAATGAAATGTCGATTAAATAAACAAGTTACAAAATATAAGGAGTGTATTAGTAAAATGAAAACTATAAAATAGGTTTAAGTAAATCTATGAAACTATATGAAATGTTTTAGTAAATCTATGAAACTATAGGAAATGTTTTAATAAATGAACAAAGAAAAAATGAATCTTACAAATACATATATTTAGCAAGTGGTGTAATGTGGGCTGTACGGGCAGGCATGGCCCACATTTTCATGCCACCCGCACTGTTCATGGCCGTTCTGGCACATACTGTGCAAGTTGGGGGTGGGGCACAGAACAAGTCTAGGCCAGGCTGGCCCATATTATTTCATTATTTTTCTTTTTTTATTTTGACTACAAAAAAAATTCAAAAAATTATAAAAAAATAATGAAAATTTGAAGAAAAAGATGACAAATTCAATGATTGCAAGTTTGCAACAACAATTTAAAAAATTCATCTTAATTTTTTATGCGAATAATCAATTCATACAATAAAAAAAAATAATTAAATAAAATTTGAAAATACTACAATAAAATGATTAAATGACGTTTCAGGCTATACCGTGCCTGGCATGGCCCGTCACTGTAACTGACAGGCCGTGTCAGGCACAGCTCTGGTCCACTGGCCGCCCGACCCGTTTTATAACTCTATATTCAGTTGGCAATACGGTGTAACTAAGTTTTAAAGAATTATTAATTTCTCCATATACGACCATGGGCACAGCTGTAATGAATGGCCACTTAGCCAGTCTCACACATTAGGCTCAGTTCGGAAGGAGTACAAAGCTCAGTTCGGAAGGAGTACAAATACAAATATGTACAGTATAAATACATACAAAATAATACACAATATGGGGTCCGTTTGGTTTATAGGAATAAGAGTTTGGAATCGGAATCGAGATGGGCTATTCTGATTTCAACTGTTTGGTTGGACAAAATCAGAATCCCATTTCCATTTCTGCTAGAATGGCATTCTTCTATTTGAGGGAATGGCCACCTGTCCCTCCCTTGAGAATGAAATTCCATTCCTGCTTATTTTAATTTCCATTCCCATTCCTCTCTAAACCAGATAGATTATGGGAATGGACCATTCCAATTCTGATTTCGAAGAATTTTGATTCCGATTATGATTCTGATTCTGAGTATACAACCAAACTGACCCATAAGGTTTTATACTCTATTTATTTGTATTTATACTCTTTCCAAACTGAGCTTTAATATTTAGCTGTTCAAGTCTAAAATTAAGACGTTGACTTGCTAGGATTTAACTTTGGGTCAGAAGGATGCATACACTAGCATTTTCCCCAGCCTTAATCACTAATCTAGGACGAGGCCCAGCTGGCTGATATAGGACCTTATGGTCCAGCCCAAATAATGGTCCAACTTCTCACATTCCTAAGCCCATCGTCACAGAAAACAAAGGAACACAACGCAGTAGCGCTCCTTTTATCTTTACCTAAAAGAATATTACAAAAAAAAGGGGAAAAATGGTCTTGTTTTGGTTTATCGCCTTAATCTAAAAACGAGATTTTGGTGTCGACAAACGCACCACGGTCGATCGACGATCCGAGGAGTACGGGTTTCTCTCGAGGTGATCCACTTCTCTCTCTCTCGCGTGCTTAGATATTTCGTTTCTTTGCTAACCATGAACCTTGAGCTAGGGTTTAAGAATTTTAGGGTTTTGACCACATTTTTCCTCTTATCGTTTTCTTTCGTTTCAATTTCAAACCCTGTACTGTTTCTCTTGATGGTATTAATCTTCGGAAGAAGACTTAAAATTTCGGTCATAGATTGTATGCACGTTGTAAGTTAGCGTTTCCTGTTGCCACTTGACAGTCACTCTGTGTGAAACTCCAGCATAACGCATTAGACTTGTTGAAAGCGAAACAGGTCAAGAAGAGTTCAAGTCTGTTCTAGAGGCTTCTAAAGCCTCCGCGTTGGTTTTGAATGGTTGAAATTGAAAACTTGAAGTTCTGGTAAGTAATATCAAGATGGCTCAGTAGCTAGTAGGGTAGGGGCATCTGGATTAGTGAAACTCACTAGAAACTCGTATGTACTCAAATGGCCTATGCCTTTGGCTAGAAGTGGAATATGGGTTGCCAAAAACGCCCTTGATAGAAGAATCGTTGAATAAAATCTTGTTCCAAAGTCCAAACTTTGTCTGCCAGCAATTCTTCAAGTCTAAATTCGAGTGTATTTTCTCAAAAATATGACAACAGAAAGATGCTTTTGACCTTTGAAGGACTTACTTGGTTCTCTGTTAATGGGGAAATTGACTCCCTGCTAATGTTCTTTTAGCACATATGCAACATCACATAACCTTTACCAAATACAGAAACTGGATCACCCTGGTAATGTTTAGGGTATCAGCATAAATCTGCATAATTCTGAAGAAAGAGGGGATTGCTAACTGATTAAAACCAAGCCCAATGCTATCCACGCTTCGATTGGCATAGATCAACTATGGACCCCACTCCGGACCACCCCATTGTCTTAAAAGGAGGTATCACAATGATGATATGACAAACTTTTAGGATTTTGTAACAAGGCAAGTCAATAAATCTCTTTGGGCAGTTTTCTATTTGGAAACTATACTACTCATCGGGTTCTCTAAGAATTTAGGGAAAGGGTTGTTTTACATCTGCAATGTGTGATTTTTGATTTGTTTTTTTTGGTGAGAGATTTGTGTCCTCTATGAGTGACCTATTAAGATACAATAGTTTTTTTTGAGTTCTCAACTAGGTATTCCTTAGTTGGGGTTCTATACAATTTATATCCTATGTTTCAGGTTTTTGAGCTTTTGTTGCAGTGATCTTTTTGTGGGGTTAGTGTCAAAGGAGTGCTTTCTTCTTGGGAAGAAGTTTATATTTATCTTCTCTTTAATATAGTGGATTTATTTTGATTTCCTCACCTGTGGACATGGTCTGCTGAACCATTTAAAATCATTGTGTTTTGTGTTTAGTTCTTTAGATTTTTTTTTCCTATTTTACTGCATAGTAGCCAAGGTATCTAGGTGATTCTAGGTGTAAGCCGAGCACCTAGTTACCTAGGTGATAGAATTTTGCAAAGGATATACTAAATTGTAGGTTAGTTTCCTAATTTTATATATCAATTAGCATGCATATGCATTGGAAAAATAGAGATTCTCTTCATTAATAACATTAGTTTTCCTCTCAAAACATAGAAAATCATTATATCTAAAAGACAATGTTATTATATTATCAGGAAAAGACAATAGTATTTTACATCATTTGGTTTTGAATCTTTTGATATTGTGCACAATGGTTTTGGTGAGATGGGTCAATGTGGAAATGTTGTGGGAGAGCCTGGAGGCCCAGTGGGGGTAGTGCTTACTTGAGCATTCAGGAGCACTATAATGCCAACATGGGAGATGAATTTGGATAGTCATCTGTTAAGGTCTTTGACTGCAATCTGCTGGCTGGTTTGGTTGAACACTATGGGAAACTGTTGAAGACTCACTGCTTGATACCAATCATGGAAAGGGTTGTGTGTGTGTGTGTGAGAGTGAGAGAGAGAGAGAGAGAGAGAGAGAGAGAGTTTAGTCATCTATTTTCCATTCTCTCAATTTGTTCTTGTCGTGCCTGTCTTCACTGCTTGACATATCATGTTGTTGGTTGATGGAGAGAACCTTGGTAACTGTCCGAATGGGCCTGCAGTCTTGTTTTTCATGGTGATTTGGAAAATCTTTTCCTTAACTTATGGCAATCAAGCACTGGTTTCATGTAAATGAAAAAAGGATGGCATCTTGGTTCATGGGGAACCATGGATGTCTTTAATTAGATACTGTCTATTCATGTATTTTCTGTTGAAGTCTAGTTATTTGGATTGTGGGGTTAATAGTTTTTTTTTTTTTTTTTTCATGAAGAGTTGGAACACAGCAAGATTTATTTGTTTTTATATTCTTGTTTTGTTTTAGTATAAACATTGTATCAGATAAGGATCTATTAATAATTTCTGTTAGAGAAATATTATTTTGAAATATATAATATGTGATTCGTGGCCATTTGGTTTCTGCAATTATGGTGTTCGCTTTGAACAAGAAGTCATTTGTTATGCATACCTTAGATACCACTTAATAGCAGGTATGTTACATTGTAGATGGCTGGTCGGTCCACTAGACAACAATCCAAGCAGGATCAGTCAAGGGCTAAGTGGACAGTATCCCTTACTAAGATACTTGCAGACTTGATGGCCGAGCAGGTTTTAAAGGGGAATCGGCCAAACAATTCTTTTGGGAAAAAAGCGTGGAAATGTATATGTGATGGTTTCCATAAAGAAACGGGATTGAAATGGGATAAGGAGCAATTGAAGAACCGTTATGGTGTTTTGAGGAGACAGTATGTTACTATCAAATCACTTCTTGATCAAAGTGACTTCAGTTGGGATGAACCTCGACGCACAGTGATAGCCACGGATGAAGTGTGGGATAAATACATTCAGGTAGGATATGCCATTTATCTGAGGTCCTATCAATCTATGGTACCATTGTGACTTTCTTTTTATTATTATTAATTTTGTAATCAGCCATCATTGTAAATTCCTTATAAAGAAACCATACTTGCAGACACACCCAGATGCTGAGACAATTAGAAACAATGGTTGTCCAATTTACAGACAGCTTTGCACAATATTCTCGGAGTCTGGGACCAATGGGGGATATGACCACTCGAGCCATCAGGTATTGGATGGTGGGGCTCCTTGTTTGTTGCCAGGACAAGAGACTGCAAGCATGTCAATTGATCCTGGAGCAGCTTCAATTGCACTGGATGATTCTTCATCAGAGTCAGAAGAGCACATTGACATGTTAGATGTCCAGAACAAACATCAATCAGCAACACCAACTTCTGGTCGCCGCAAAAGAAACCGTAAAGGAATTGATGATGTTATTGCAGAAGCTATATTGGATATAGCTGTTGCATCAAAGTTGAGGACAACAGCATTAACACAGAGTAGTGAGCAATTTTCTATAAGCAATTGCATCAAAGCATTAGATGAGATACAAGGAATCGATGACCGCATCTATTTTGCTGCTTTGGATTTATTTGACAGCTCCAGTGCAAGGGAAACATTCTTATCTCTCAAAAATGATAAGCGATTGACATGGTTGAAAGGCAAGTGTGATGCTCCCTCGACTTCCACGGTGTGAGAACACATTTGAGCCGTCTTTTTTTGTTTAATATTAATAGGATAATAGTTCTATACTATTTTACAGCAGAAGTTATTACATTATTATTTTTTTTGGGGTGGTGCTGGGATTGAGGCAAGACTAGGAGGAATGGAGGATAATCCTCTTCTCAGACTGCTCTGCACATCTGTATAGTACCAGAATCCATGTCTACCCTTTTAATCTATCTTGTTTTGGACCATGAAGGCCAAAGTTATTGAAATTATATCTTCTTATGTTGGTGAGATAATTCCTTATTGAAAACAGGCACTTGTCATCAGGAATCGGGATTCTGTTGGGCTGCCAATTCAGCTGCTAGATATACCAGCGTGACCAGGAAATCTTTTTGCAAGTTTGTTATACTTCCAGTTTAAGAAGCTCTTTCCAACAAAGGGCATACCCGCCCAGACAAGTTCTCGGATGGCCATCCTGTTTGTTTACGGTATGGTAATCGGCAATGTAGCTTCGGCCAATTGGCCCCCATAGGCCATAGCCCATAGGGAAGTCTAGGTGCCATACTCCAGACCTGGACTGGCTGGACAGCAGGAAGAAGATCGCATCGTCAAAGCCCTCTTGTCAAACGACTGCCTAACCGTGGCATAATTGGACTGAGTTGATGTTTTTACTTGGTGAAAAAAAAAAGTAGAATCAATGGCTTGAAAGAAGCTTCTTCCACGTTCAAGCCAAGGGGAGTTGGGGATATCCCTGAATAAGATTGTCGTCGTGATCCATCTCTGTTGGGCCAATATTTCTCCAACCTATCCAGCGTCCAACTCGGCTCAGGGACTCCACAGTGAATCTCAGGATTCAGGATCAGCTTGGAAAAAGATATTGAAGATCAACTGCGTTTACTCATCTGGCTATATGATATAGAGTCATTTGAGCCACATAAGGCTGCGTTTGTTTTTGGTGTAAATGAAAATTGGGGTAAATTTTACATCCCGGTTCAAATTTCCCCGTGTTTGTTTAGGTGTTATTTTACATCATAAATGAGTGTACAACTCTGCTGAGGATGAATTTTGCATCGAGAATCGGTGGAAAGTTCCCACCGATAAAATCGATGTAAAACTCCATTGTTTTCAGTGTAAAAGTCCTTGCCCGCATATCTTCTCAAGCGCTGCAATAGTCAAATAGTACCGGCATTTCCACCATTTTAGAGCGCAGATCAATGTTCCCATTCATGGCATTTCCACCGTCCCTGCTCGCACCACTTTGGTGTAAAACTCCATGTGGCCCGTTTCCTTGCCTTCCAAACACCTTCCGAGCAGATCTTGCTGCCATAAATGGTTTCAACCAATGGGAGCGTTTGAGCTGGTCTCTGGGCTGTGCTGGTGGGTTTGGTACTAGAGCCAGTTTTGCGGTTGAAACCGGAACTTGTTCAAGTTTTCTTGACCTTTCTGGTTTTGGAACTCGAGTCCAAGAGTTTCAGTACGTCATCATTGCAGAGGCAGCAACTATAGTCGCGGCATGGGTGGAGAAGGCGTTTGGATCTCTGCCAGAGGCTGGAGGAAGAGGACATTTCAGAGAAAAAATAGAAACCTTCCATTTGGGTACTTTGGAATCCGACCGGATTCAATGGAAGGGAGAGTTTCAGAGCAGAAAGAGTGGGATGCTTCACTTTTACACCGTGACAATCAAATGTCATCAGCATAAAAATTCAAATCCACCTGGTTCCATTTTCCATCGATCACTGAACCGGCACCACCTTTTTCAAGGTGTAGAAGTGAATTTACACCTAAAGGGATATTTCCTGATTTATAATAAAATGCTCCTGGCTCATGAATTGCTACTGACGGTCCAAAGTGGTTAGGGAAAGTTTGGATCGAAAGTGACTCGGAGACTGCATAACAAGCAATATATCCCATTGCAAATACCTGTGAAAACTTCTCTTGAAAATCAAACATATCAAACAAGGAACAGCCTTACACCCCAATGAAAATGGGTCTTATGTAACATGAAAAAGCTAGTCACTGGTTAGTATGAAACCCAAAGCAAACTCCTTACATTTCCTTGCATACATTGCAACCCAACGATTGCCACTTTTCATCTCTCAAACTTTTAGTTTATCCCCACTTTTCAATGGAATCCTACCACCCGACGTGATGTTAAGCTTCTGGGTTCCATTTCACAATGGGGATGCACATATATATACAGAGTCCCATCACATGGATAATAACATAGAGGTACAGGCCATTACTTACGGTAGTATCCTCTTCAGTTCATTGCCTTGACCATTGCTCTTGGACTTATTAGACACTGATTCAAAGGCCTGTATGCATACACTGGAAAAACCAGTCATTGCCTGAAAGACATTTGGAAACCCCATTTGCAGGTTGTTCAGTGTCATTGCCCTCGTCACACCCACCAATTTCTCATGCTTTGTCTTCTCCTCTTCAGCTTTGGATCGCAGAATCTCCACCTTAGCTCGCTTCTCTGCAACTGGGTCCCTGTGTCTTGAGGTTCGTGATGTTTCAAGTATGGAAAATGGGCCATACTTGCACTCTAAAGATCTAAGTTGAACTACCTTCTTCTCAAGCTCTTTAAATGCAGCCTCTGACTTCTTCTTTTGTCTCTGCTCTTCTGCCTGCTGAGCCACAACTGCATGAATTACTGTTAAGAGGCTTTTTATCCCTTCAGATGCCACTTTATCTGGAATTCTGTCCACCTCAAGCTGCCAATCTTCACAGAGACAGTAGATTGCTGAGTTCTGTTTGGTTTTGGTTAGAAAGTCAGTGTTGAACTGGAAGAGGCTGAGACGGAGCCATCCCGTGAGGGAATGGATGTAATCTCTTTGGGTTTGAATGAGGTTGCAGAAAGCTGAGTACCACTGTTGAACCTCAAGCTCAAGCTGGAGAGTTGATTGACGAAGAATCTCAGAGGTGGCATATGTAGTTGTAATGGGAGTATTAAGGAACTTCAACTGCTGAACTATGTGAGTTTGGACTTGGTTGCACTCGTACATGCTTCTCCACATGCACATCAATCTGCAAATACAGAATTTATATAATTAGTTTAAAACCATGCATGTCATTAGGCCCATTACAGCTGTTTACAAATGACAGACCCATAGATGTGGTTGTATAAAGTTGTTTTTTCTTCCCAGATGATAATAACATTTAGGTCATATTTGGTCTCATAGAAAACAAGAGAGAAATAGGGAAAGCTCTTAAGGAATTTTAAAGTTCTTAGGAACTCTCTATTTCTCTCTTACTTTCTATCAAACCAAATATTTGGTTCTAGAAAAGAAAAAAGGTACTGGCTTAAGTTACCAACCACAGGGAAGAACTGATAACTGAAGGTCCTGAATCAACACCCCATAACATGCCCCAGGAGTACAGGCATGTTGGCTGTTTATAGAGCTAATCAGAGTTAAATAGCAAACTTACCTAGCTCTCATAATTTTTGTTTTTTTATTGTTCTCATAATTTTTGGTTTTTATTGATTGTCTTTGGTTTTGGAAACACTCTCTGTATGTGCAGGGGTAAGGTTGTGTACATGTGTCCCTCTCCAGACCCCATATTGGCAGGAGCATTGTGCACTGGGCTACCCTTTATTGATTGTCTTTGGTAGGGAGGGAAATTAGTGAAAATGCATACAGGTTCTTTGATCAAAACACATGATTCTTTTCAACACAACCATACACTAAGGCCTCGTTCACTTTTCGGTAAGTTATTTACCTGGGTAAATGCAGTTACTTGGGCAAGTTTTTCCTGGAAAACGCTTACCCGGATAAGTGCATTTACCCATGTTCTTTTATTTCTAATGTAAATAAGGCAATGATCATTTTATTCATAAAATTCCATTATTAAAATAGACATTTTTGTCCCATTCAAGTGTTGGCAGCTTTCCCCTAGGTGGGAAAATTATTTACCCACCTAGGAGATGGGGGGTAAGTGATACCCAGAAAAATAAACTTTCCCTGGTCCCCATATAAATCTGAAAAAAGAACATGGGATTCTTGGTCAATGGGAACCAAAATCCCATTCACCAACTTTCCCCCTCTCAAAATCCAAAAAAGGAACACCCCCTAAAGCACATCTAGTGACTCAAGATAGGTTGTGAATTTGGTTACCATGTTAGCATCAGTAGGATTTTTCTTTTTGAGGAAGATGGGCCGGCTGACACAGAAAATAGTTACTAAGAAAGAGTAAGATCAAAACATAGGAATGGCAAATTATACTGTGCCTCAATATAAGCATGCTGTGTTGCACGAGGCTTCAATATAAGCATGATGCATATACTGTGCCTCAGTTATGGCATATTTGCTGTTAGTATTATAATCAATGCTCTGAAAAATCATTTTTTAATATTCTGAAAGTCATAACCATATTGAAACTACGTCCACCATATATGTGGAATGAAGTTTACCACTTGTACACTAAGCACTATATAAAATCAAGTTTGATTTCAAAAGTCAAGTAACTCACATTAGTCAACCCATATATGATGAAAATTGATCTAAACCTGGTGCAAGTGGGATTCGATCCCAAGCCTCCACTACAACCAGCTAGTTGGCACCTTGCAATTGATTTGAATAATTGAATCACATTTTTTTAATAACATTTGATTTGAAATCACATGAATCAGATAAGTTGTAAGTTTCAAACAAAACTGTAAAATTCTCAGAAAAGATTCAATCATAAAATTAGAATTGGAATCTTTGCAGTGTTATAAAAGCACAAGGTGCAGGGGTCAATTTACGTCTGAGGCGTAAGGTGCAAAAATACAAAAACAATGCTAAAACGTAAAAAAAAAAGACAAAAAATAAAAATAAAAAATATTAAACATAATATTAATAAAAAAATACAAACTTAAATTTTAAAATAAATGTTTTAAAAAACCTATTATCTAAAATTAAAATACATAAACATAATATATAAAGCATATTCAAATGAGAATTTAAAAATGAAATCAAACATATAAAACATTTTCAAGTAAAACCCACAATCTCTTTTCT